ACAACCATGGGCTTTATCACCAAACTGCCTGGGTTGGAATCCTGGCTTTACGACTTTCTTTCTTTCTTTTTTTTTCTTTATTAAGGTATAATTGATATACACTCTTATGAAGGTTTCACATGAGAAAAATAATGTGATTACTACATTTACCCATATTATCAAGTCCCTACCCACACTCCAATGCAGTCACCGTCCATCAGTGCAGCAAAATGCCACAGATTCACTATGTGCCTTCTCTGTGCTACACTGTTCTCCCCGTGATCCCCCCACACCATGTGTACTAAATATAATACTCCTCAATCCCCTTCTCCCTCCCTCCCCACCCGCCCTCCCACACCCCTCCCCTTTGGTAACCACTAGTCCCTTCTTGGAGTCTCTGAGTCTGCTACCATTTTGTTCCTTCAGTTTTGCTTCATTGTTATACTCCACAAATGAGGGAAATCATTTGTCATTTGTCTTTCTCTGCCTGGCTTATTTCACTGAGCATAATGTCCTCCAGCTCCATCCATGTGGTTGCAAATGGTAGGATTTGTTTCTTTCTTATGGATGAACAGTATTCCATTGTGTATATGTACCACATCTTCTTTATCCATTCATCTACTGATGGACATGTAGGCTGCTTCCATATCTTGGCTATTGTAAATAGTGCTGCGATAAACAGGCTGCATATGTTTTTTTGAATCTGAGAAGTTGTATTCTTTGGGTAATTTCCAAGTAGTGGGATTCCTGGGTCAAATGCTATTTCTATTTTTAGTCTTTTGAGGAACCTCCATATTGCTTTCCACAATGGTTGAACTAGCTTACATTCCCACCAGCAGTGTAGGAGGGTTCCCCTTTCTCCACATCCTCACCAGCATTTGTTGTTCTTAGTTTTATCGATGCTGGCCATTCTTACTGGTGTGAGGTGATATTTCATGGTGGTTTTAATTTGCATTTCCCTGATGATAAGTGATGTGGAGCATCTTTTCATGTGTCTGTGTGCCATCTGAATTTATTCTTTGGAGAACTTTCTCTTCATATCCTCTGCCCACTTGTTATTCGGGTTATTTGCTTTTTGGGTGTTGAGGCATGTAAGTTCTTTATATATTTTGGATGTTAACCCCTTGTCGGATATGTCATTTATAAATATACTCCCATACTGTAGGATGCCTTTTTGTTCTGTTGATGGTGTCCTTTGCCGTACAGAAACTTTTTAGTTTGATGTAGTCCCATGAGTTCATTTTTGCTTTTGTTTCCCTTGCTCAAGGAGATGAGTTCAGGAAGAAGTTGCTCATGCTTATATTCAGGAGATGTTTGCCTATGTTGTCTTCTAAGAGTTTTATGGTTTCATGACTTACGTTCAGGTCTTCAATCCATTTTGAGTTTACTTTCGTGTATGGGGTTAAACAATAATCCAGTTTCATTCTCTTGCATGTAGCTGTTCAGTTTTGCCAACACCAGCTGTTGAAGAAGCTGTCATTTCCCCATTGTATGTCCATGGCTCCTTTATCATATATTAATTTACTATATATGGTTGGGTTTATATCAGGGCTCTCTAGTCTGTTCCATTGGTCTATAGGTATGTTGTTGTGCCAGTACCAAATTGGCTTGATTACTGTGGCTTTGTAGTAGAGCTTGAAGTTAGGCAGCGTAATTCCCCCTGCTTTATTCTTCCATCTCAGGATTGCTTTGGCTATTTGGGGTCTTTTGTGGTTCCATGTGAATTTTAGGATGATTTTCTCTAGTTCATTGAAGAATGCTATTGGTATTTTGATAGGAATTGCATTGAATCTATAGATTGCTTTAGGCAGGATGGCCATTTTAACAGTATTAATTCTTCCTATCCTTGAGCATGGGATGTGTTTCCATTTATTGGTATCTTCTTTAATTTCTCTCATGAGTGTCTTGTAGTTTTCAGAGTATAGGTCTTTCACTTCCTTGGTTAGGTTTATTCCTAGGTATTTTATTCTTTTTGATGCAATTGTGAATGGAATTGTTTTCCTGATTTCTCTCTCTGCTAGTTCATTGTTAGTGTATAGGGATGCCACAGATTTCTGTGTATTAATTTTGTATCCTGCAACTTTGCTGAATTCAGATATTAGATCTAGTAGTTTTGGAGTGGATTCTTTAGGGTTTTTAATATACAACATCATGTCATCTGCAAACAGGGACAGTTTAACTTCTTCCTTGCCACTGGATGCCTGCTATTTCTTTGTGTTGTCTGATTGCTTTGGCTAGGACATCCAGTACTATGTTGAACAGAAGTGGGGAAAGTGAGCATCCTTGTCTTGTTCCTGATCTTGAAGGAAAAGCTTTCATCTTCTCACTGTTAAGTATAATGTTGGCTGTGGGTTTGTCATATATGGCCTTTATTATGTTGAGGCACTTCTGGCTTTATGACTTTCTGAATGTGTGATTGTGAGTAAGTTATATCTTTCTAAGCTGCTTTCTTTATATGTAAACTGAAAATTAAATATACCTCATAGGTTTTCTTTAATAAAGATTAAATGAGATAACATATGTAAATGCTTAGCAAGCATATAATAAAAGCCAGCAATGATGGTGAAATGAAAAGGAGCAAATGGTTAATATGGTTTAAACAAACATTTAAAGATAAGTAATCCAAATGTGTATTGTAACATGATGATTTAACTAGGACCAGAGGTGGGAAAAACTCAAAACTCTGGGTTAGTCTTGTTTCAGAAACACAAAATATTGGCTATTAAGAAGAAAGGTAATGGGAATTAGACAGCACTTTGCCTGACATTTTGTAGGTATAGATGACCTGACATATATCTTGTGCATAGTTCAAGCGACAATCCCAAAAAAAGAAGAGAAAAACAGGAAGAAATGGAGAGAGAGACTGGACTCAAAAGGTCCAGAGGAAGGCAAAAGTTTTGATGAATAGATACTTGCCATAATACGTGCAGACTGAAATGAGTGGGATGATGTGGGTTAGAAATAAGAAGTGAAAAAGGACAGATTGCATGGTTCTGTAATTCAAAGATGTGGAAAAATCTTGGAAAACCAGGAATATCCCCTACCCTGGAACTTGAAACAGACATTTTTATGTGATGCAAGAAGATACTTACTTTAGCACTGTAATGGCCATTTTGGGTGATGTCTTTAGACCCAACCAGATATTGAAAGACTTAAGACTACAATAGGCATGCTTGCATCAGATTAAAAAGACAAAAGCATAAGAAAAAGAGCATGCCAACAGCACAGGCACAGGCTTCTGTCCTCTCTAGGAAGCCCAACAGCAGTCTCAGAGAGTCTCTGGCCCCTCAGATGATAGCTCAGAGATGAGAGAATGAGACGACGTGGGAAGATTCAATAGTCACCCTAGTTTAAAAGCCGTGTTGCAAACAGACACCAATACCTCTTTTGACAGTCTCAGCTTCGAGGTCCTTGAAAAGGACATGACTGGTTATAAGTTTTTCCATTCAGGAAAGTCCAAAGTTATGGCTTCGCACCAGTTACTTACAGTTCATTCATAGCCCTTCAAGTCCAAGCTTAATTTACCAATCAAATGTCATTCTATCACAGCAATGTCACAAGTAACACAGCTGAAGTTCTACCTTCCTCAGACTGCCGGGGGACAGGGCTAGCAGCAGCTCAACCCAACACCAATTTCTCATGTAACAGAGAAAAGGATTTTGTTAAACCTTTACTAACACACAAAATGAATCTTAAACTCGGTATTTTACTTCCCAAATGGCACTAGCAAGAAACTATAGATGAATTTAGACAAATCGTGAATTAGCTGGCTAGAAGTGGGTTTTCAGAACTAGTAAATAGCTAGTAAAGTTTGCCTTCCTAGAGAAATACTGTTTCCTTTCAACACTGTAATCTGAGTATGCTATTAGGAGGAATGGATAAACTCTCCTTTCCGGATAGCGTCTTTGAGAACTGGGTTCAAAGCAGGAACTGCATTCCTCCGTGAGACTCCCCTGTGGACTACTTTTTCCAGGAGGTAAAGATTCCTCAATGCCTGGTGTGTTCTTACCAAAGCATATAAGTAACATTAATTCTTGGATTGTAAACTACAATTCTTATGACTGAACTTACGTATCTTTACTTGTGTAAGAATTTAATTACAGAATGTCTTCCCAAAAGTGAGGAACACGAGGAGAGCCGGTGAGTGGCTCCCAGTTTACTCTTACGCCCGGCACTGTGAATCAGACGACTTACTCAAGAATATCTGTGGAATCTAAGTGAATTGGAAAACAGTAACAAAGCAATAGAAAATGTAGCAGAAAAACATTTATTAAAAGGACAGGAAGTGAAAGCTCATAGGCCTGTGAAAAATGTTCAGCTACAGTAGCAATTAAAGAAATAAAAATAATAATGAAATATTTTTATATAAAAAGAAAAATATTAAAATATTAAAATAATCATAACACTCAAAGCTGCAGAAGTGTAGTGAGACAGGTCCTCTCACAGTTAACTTGTGTAAGTGTCAGAGGCCATACAGATACATATATGGTACAATGTTTCTGGAAAGCAATTTGGCAGTGTTTGTTAAGTCTTAAAAATACAGATATCTTCTGATAGTAAAAACTAGTACATTTACAGCCAAAAATACAACTTAAAAAAAAAAGGTGAAGTAAGATTTATTTATCAACTATTCACTGATTATGAAATAAAATATATGAAACAACCACAAAAGCCATAATGGGATCATGGTTAAATATACTTTAGGACATTCATAATATAGGTTATACAGATTAAAATGCGAGATTTTCAAAGAATTGATGACACCACAGAAAAATGCGGATGATCTAAAGTTAGGTAAAAATGGCAGAATACAGAACTGTATAAAGTATGATCTCAATTCTATTAGATATATGCATGTGTGTATTTAACAACTATGGAATGCTGTAACTCATACAGCAGAACAGATGGCAAATGTAGTTAACGTCCACAGAAGGCACTCTACTACTGCAATTTTTATCAAGGTTTGTTAAACTCTCTCTGCTTTAATACTTAAAAAAGAATCATGTCTTCTTTATACTTACCAGATCGATATTTTGCATTATATCCTGAAATGAAGGATGAGTTCGAAATTGTTCGAAGAGATCTCTTTTGTAAAGCAGTGCATACACCAAGTTCGGATTGTGGTGAAGAGAATTTGTCAGGCAGGAATTGATGATCTCCAACATCATTCGAATCACTTCTTCGATAACATTTAGGTCTTGTGCCTGATAAAGAAAGCAAGCAAAGACACATAATGTTTTTCTCCTCAACACAGCATTAATCAGAATGAGAGTTAAATGCTTCAAAATTCTAACAGGATTGGGAAGACCTTGCAAAAGAACTCTTCCAGATTACTTCTGTCAAGAATCTTTAGAAAGGGGTTTGAGTTAAAAATCTTTCAAACTTATTGTCACATTAGGAATTTAACATAATACCTTATAGACCTAGCAACTTAGAAATAAGTCTGGTGCTTAGCCCCTTAGATCTTTAATGGTATTCTTATCACGATATCATCTTAAATTGTTAGACACAGACCATGTAAAGCAGTGGCAGGATCTTACCAATACCAATTCAGAAAAACACCTAATTCAGAACATGACTTCATTTCTTTACACTGTCACTTCAATCTATATTTACAGATAAATAGCTTATTGTTTTGTCTCTTGTCCCTCAGAGTCTTTGGGAATCTGAACACGAATTAGTTTTAAGACAGCGAATCAACAAATTTCTTAGGAGAACAATAGAAGAAGCAAAATTACAGATAAATACAATAGGCTTTTCCTTTCTCCTTGGGTTTTCTGAATTATGTTTCAAAGTTAAAGCAAAAATTATTAATATTGTCTGATTGGTTCTCAATGTATGTAAAAGGAACATCTGAGAAAACAGTATTATAACCAGAGGGCAAAGGGATGTAAAAGCGGGAAGGTTTCTATACCTCACCTGAAATGGTAAAATGTCCACACTACTGGACTATGACAGGTTATGCATGCGTAAGTCTAGAGCAAATCTACACAAAGAGATACACACAAAAATATTACATATACATCAACATGGAACTCTAAAAAAATCATTCAAGTAGCCACAGGGAGGCAGGAAAACAAGACATACAGATGGAAAAAGAACAAAAGGAAATGGAAAGTAAAATGGCAGACTTAAGATGGATCAATAGTTACATTAATTGTAAATTGGCTAAATGTAATAATTAAAACCCAAAGATTGGCAAAGTAGATAAAGAACACAGAACCCAACTATATATCTACAAGAAATTTCAATTGTAATTTACTTCAAATATAGTTAGGTTGAAAGTAAAAGGCTAAGAAAAGATAATACCATGCATATATTAGTTAAAGGAAAGCAGGAGTGACTATATCAATATCAGATAAAGTACACCTCAAAGACTGTATGGCCTGAAAAGTATAAAGCATTTACTATCGGGCCCCTTACAAAACAAGTTTACCATGCCTGGTCTAGCAGACAAAAGGCAATGTTTATTTCCTCGCATTTACCTCGCAAGTACAATGTGCAGCCTTGAAGCAAAATGTGTGAGACAAAACAGCAGGTAAAACCAACCATGTCCAAGACACAAAGTGATAAGGAGAATCAGACCCAGAGATACGCAGATTGAAAATATCAAACAGGGTATTTAAAAAAAAAGATTATCTACAAAATCTACTATGAGTCTACATGTTTAGGATTGATGGGGAGTTTCAGCAGAGTTGAAAACTATAAGACAGTGACAAACAGAAATGTTAGATATTTAAAAATATCTAGTAATAGCAGTAAACAATGCCTAGATGGGTTCAACAGTAGACCTGACAGCATCTTGAAGGGATAATAGCTAAGCAATTTCGAAAAGTAATTAAAGAATCAGACCAAGACCCAACAAACTCAGTGAATACCCCCAAAGTCTGGCAAAAACAAAACAAACAAAAAAGCACATTTAGATACATTATTCAAGCTACTGAAAACCAAACACAAAGAGAAAGTCTTAATGCAGCCAGAAGAAAAAACACATTAAATACAGACACACAAAGATAAGAATTACACCAGACCTCACAGGCCAATCTGACTGGAAAGGTATTGTTAAAGTGCTGAAGTAAGAAAAGTCAAGCAAGATTCCATAACTAGCAGAAATATCTTCCAAATATGAAAATGAAATAAAGAATTTTTCAAACTAAAGTAAGGTGCGATAACATATCGGCTGCATACCTGTACTGTAAGAAATGTTAAAGGGATTTCTTTGGGAAGAAGGATGTGAACTGTAGATCTACACAAGGAAATAAAGACATTTTTATTTTTAATCATTCTAAAAGAAAATGAATTTCAAAAGAAAAATTGTAGCAGTGTATTAGGTTTATAGCATATGTGAAATATATCACAACATTCTTCTAATGGGCATCAGATTTATTTCTAGTTTGTTTCTGTGATCAAAGATGCAATAAGCCCATGAGTAGATCTGTTTTTATATATGGATACTTTTCTCACTACAGCAAAGACTTCAGAAGAGGGGCTGGTGAAAAGGTTGCATCTGTAATATTAACAGATGTTGCTTCATCATTGCTTAAGGAGTGATGACAACATATTTACACTGACAGTGTAGGAAAGCTCTTCTCTCATTTTCTCAGTCACAGGTATAATTATTCCACTTAATATTCACTATCTGAAGATTCTCACTTTTGGATAAGGTTATGTCAAAATATCCCATAATGATTATCAATTCCTTCACATATTCAAAGTAGCTATAAACCCCCCTACATTGCTGGTGGGAATGAAAATTGATGCGGCCACTGTGGAAAGCAGTATAGAGGTTCCTCCAAAAACTAAAAATAGAAATACTGTTATGACTGAGTAATTCCACCTCTGGGAATTTATCTAAAGAAAACAAAACCACTGATCTGAAAGGATATATGCACCCCCATATTTACTGAAGCATTTTTTACAACAGCTAAGATATGGAACCAACCAAAGTGTTCATAAATAGATGAATGGGTAAAGAAGATGTGGTATACATACACAGCAGAATATTATTCAGCCATAAAAAATGAAAGAAATCTTGACATTTGCAACATGGATTGACCTACAGGTTATATAACTCTAAGTGAAATAAGCCAGGCAGAGGAAAATAAATACCATACTATTTTACTTACACGTGAAATCTAAACAAAATAAAATGAACAAAATGGAAATAGACTGGTGGTTACCATGGCAGAGGGGTTGGGGTGGGTAGGTAAAACAAGTGAAGGGAATAAAGAGATACAAAATCTCAAACATATATAAATTAGTCACAGAGATGAAAGTAGAGCATAGAGAATATAGTCAATAGTTCTGTATTATCTTTCTGTGTTGACAGATAACTGCAATACTTGGGGTGAGCATTTAATAATGTAGATTACCGTCAAGTCACTATGCGGTACACTTGAAACCAGTACAATACTGTGTATCAACTATACTTCAATAATAAAAAAGTAACTATAGGTTCATGATTGTCATCTTTTTATCATTACGTATTGCTTCTCTTTATCCATAATGCTTATTTTATTAAAGTATCTGCTTTATTGATTTAATATTGCTATAACATTTCCATTTTATCTCCAAGTAATCTTTCTCCAGCCTTTAATTTTCAAACTTTCTGTGTTACTGAAAACTTAAATAATTAAAAGCAATTATATGGCTAGACTTTATAATTTAAAAATCTAATCTGATAGACTCTTAATTTTTCAGTTGACTTTAATTCACTTAAACTTACTATTATTATTGTATCTTTGGATTTATTCCTACCATCTTGCTTTGTAACTTTTATGTCAGTTCTCTGCAGCTGTGTAACAAACTACTCTGAAGCCTAGCAGCTTGGAAGAGCAGTAATTATTTGCTTTGCTAATGATTTGGGTGGGTAGGGCTTGCTGGGGACAGCCTGTCTCTGCTCCACGTGGCTTCACATGGGGCTGCATGACCAGGGGTTAGAAGATATACTTAAAAGAAACTTTTTTTTATTGAAGTATAGTTGACATATAATATTAGTTTCAGGTGTACAAAACAGTGATTCAACATTTACATATATGAAATGTTGATCGTAAGTGTAGTTACCATTTGTCACCATACAAAAGTTATTGCAATATTATTGACTATATTCCCTATGCTATACTTTGTAAAAGCTCATATGGCTGGCAAGTTGGTGCTGGCTATGAGCTAGGGATACAAATGGGGGTCGGGACCCAGGATCTTTGGTTCTTCTGCACATGGTCTCTTTTGGGCTGCATGAGCTTCTTCACAGCATGAAGGTCCAAGAGATCTAATTTGGAAATCACTTCATGTTGCTACCACTTAGTATTACTACTAATGGTGTCATACTCTATTGGCTGAGGAGTGGCAAAGTTCTAGAAGAGCCTGTGGGGCAGGAATTATTACTGTAGTCATCTTTGGAAAATATAATCTGCCATATTTCTGTTTACCATCCTTTACCTATGGTTCACTCCTTCCAACCATGTTCTCTTTCCAGCCTCTGTTGAATTAAAAGCTTTTTATTACCCAGTCTTTCCTTTCCCTCTCTGCTGGGTTATAGGCTAAAGAGAGTATGTCTATCCCTGCAGGGGTCGCTCTTAACACTGTATCTTATACATCCAACTTTAAAAATAATGCTATTCATCTCCTAGACAAGACTCAAGGTTAATATACTTTCACTCTTCCTTGAACAGCAAGACACTGGCCCCATTCTTCTTTCTTGCTTTGTTATAGTAGGTCAGGTTTTAAACTTCCTCTTTTAGAAAAAAAACCATAAACGGGTTTTTAAAAAGTCAATAGTTAACTGTTTCTTTCATTCCACTTCTCTACAGGTCCACTTTTCTTCTTCTTCTTGAAGTATATCCTTCATTAGTGCTTTCATTGAAGTCTGCAGTCCTTGAATGGTTAAAATATATCTATTTTGCACTAACTTTCACATTAAATTTGAATCTAATTGTTTTCTTTTGCACTTTAAAGATACTGGCTCATTCTACTCTGGCATCTAATCTTTTTTGCCATTGAGAAGTTCACTGTAAATGTAACTAACTACTGTTCCCCTGTAGATAATGCCTTTTCAAGACTGTAAGATTTTAAGATTTTTCATCCTTTAATGCTTCAGAACCATGTGTTCAGGCGTTGATTCATCTCTATTTATCCTGCTCAGTATTCAGAGTTTACTTTTGATCTGACAATCTAACTTAGTCTCTTTTATAAATTTATATATTTT